AAAAAAAAAAAAAAAAAGACGGGTACACGCAACAAGGATGATGAGCGACTATTTCCATTGTCGTAGCAAGTTCCAAATTCAAAAAACGTATAAGAAACACATTTTAGGAAGGAACCAGAATACATTTTTTATCTTCAACAATTATTATTATTGTTGTAACATAACTTGCTTAAAAGAATAAAAGAAGAATATCTTTCACACTTGTTAATCTCCCTTTAAAGATAGAGTTAACCTAATCCTTATCACATATGACAAACATATGATTATATTTATCCAAACAGTACAATCCTTCAAATTTGCACTATTTTGGTCCAAAACAAACATGGGCTTAGTTTGTTTACCTTGGATACACAAATGGCACGTTTCTTAGGTATATTACATACATAATTGGGTGTTTACAACAAGTGCATCTATATAGTTTATGAAATAACTGAAGTGGTGTTCTATTGTAATAAAGCTTAAGACCACAGCAATAGTTTATGCAATTGTCCTGAAACTATATCGTCATTAGATACACTGCATCTAAAACCCTGGAAGCATCATTTATTTAATAAACAATCCTCTATACCACTAAAAAATGCAATTTACAACGACTCAGAGTTTTTCCATCAGTGTTCCACAAGCATATATTAACGAATATCTAGAAATAGAAAAGGCATCACAACACGGGGGAATAAATATTCTTACTTTTATACCTGGAGTTTAACAGGATTTCAACCAGGCCATTTTCTTTCTTCTTCTTCTTGTTCTTTTTCGCTCAACCAATAAAACTTCGTTAACGTGAAATTGTCGAGGACAAGTGGCTGTGAAGCACTTACACTAACATATAGCTGATGACATAATCCAAATGTGGACAGTTTTGAACTTCTAAGATCAGTAAGATTTGGCAAAAATTGCAACTTCATCTGCTGGGTTGCCAGTCATCAAGCATCTCTTTGCCCCCTGAGGCTGTTCGAACGGAAAACATCTAATGGTCGCCCCTGTTTCCACTTTCACCTTCAATTCTTCTTCATCGCTGTACAAAGTACAATAAATTAAAATGTCTCACACAGGTTTCACCTTTATAATGATATTTATGAAAAATGCCTAGAGGTTCGTCATTTTGTCCTAGAAACTAAAAATCTTTGGAAATTACAATCAACCCCTGAATTTTATTTCTATAAACAATTTGCATGGTCTAGAAGGTGGAATTTTTCAGGTCAATACAGACCTCAAGGAGGTATTGTAATTTTATAAAATAGTTGAAGTTACACGTAATTAAGCCGAACTTTGTGGTTCGCTTCTACAATATGCTCATAAATTCTTATGGCAGAGCAAGAATAATATTCAAAGAAGCATGGTACCTGGCTGACCAAGGGCCTCTTGCCCATTTGCCTTCAGCTATTGCTTCTTTAAGCTCATTATAAGAGCTGACATCAACAATGTGGCTGAAAAATGATATCATCTTCAGTCAGAATCATTTCCACATCAAAGTGTTGATATAATAATACTAGATACGGGATCATGGCATCCTTGAGCACATTAAAACCTAACAAGCTATGCTAAATGTCACATCCATATATTTATTTAATGCAATATAGATCTGCAAAAATAATCTAAATGGAATTTACATTGGCGACAAACACATAATTTGATCTCAATCATAATATCTAGAAGGCGGAAACATACCTATCTCGAAAAGACTTGGCCTTTTCAAGAAGAGAGGACTGGACCTCATCCAACTTGCTTCTTACATAAGCCACCAAAGTTGAAGATTCCATTGATATACCAAAAACTTTTCCTTGTTTCCCTGGAATATCTCTTCTAGAGACGACCACACAACCGGTTGAAACGTCTCGAGGCCCAATCTCAATCCTTAGAGGCACACCCTAGTTGAAACAAAGAAATGTCAACAAAGTTGGCATTCTGGTAATCTATAAAAGGTGATATAAGAAAGGAAAACATAGGTCCCAAATAATGTTGCACCATATAATTTACACCAGGATTCACGGAGATGATGATTCTACTTTTTTCTCACTTTTGTTTTTTCTCTTTGTGCATGTGTGCAGCATCCCAAATTAAGAAACTAAGAGTGTTAACTTGACCACTTGCCTTGCACAGTTACACAATCATTGTATTTTCCGAAATCAATGAATATTTTTCACGGATATGTGTTGGCATCCCGAGTGGTGAAGGAAAAAGGCATAAAAGGCAATGGGTTATAGAAGCATACCTTCATTTCCCAAAAGTTAAATTTCCAGCCAGGTGTTTTCTGCTCAGAGTCGTCAAGTTTAACCTTAATTCCAGCGGCTTGAAGAACTTCTTTCACAGATGAGGCAGCATTCAGAACCCCTGTCCTTTCATCTGCTTTCTTCCATATTGGAACTACTATTACCTGCACACTAATTGGTTAGAGATCAAGAAACCCAACAGCTCAAAGTATGACAGAAATTAAGATTTGATAGAAGTGCCATAAGACACCAGTGAATGGCTTTAAAAAGAATACCTGCACTGGAGCTAGATTTGGGGGAAGCATCAAGCCGGCGTCATCTCCATGTGTCATAATGATGCCACCAACAAACCTCGTGCTAACTGCCCATGATGTCTGCCATACGTGTTGCCTTTCTCCATTTTCGTCTGTGAACTGTGCAAGATAATCAGTTTATTGAAACGTGAAAAACTTCAACATATCGTCTGTATCCAAGGGTAAAATAATGGTGAATAGAAGAGACTAAACTGGATTCACCTTGCGTTTGCATATCTTAGAACATCAAACAAGTTTATTTTATTTTTACAAATAATAATACAAGATAAGAGCAACATTTTGTTTTTCTATAATAGAGAAAGTCTCCCAGTTGATTATACTAGTTTAGCTCTAGCATCATGCATCATGCAACATACAAACTAATGAAAGGACAAAACCCTGTATGATGAAAGGACAAAATTGCAAGTCGGCCTGTTATCATGTCAGCAGGAAAGAACTTAATGTAATTATCTCAGACAATAATAATTTAAAAGANNNNAAAAAAAAAAAAAAAAAAAAAAAAAAAAAAAAAAAAAAAAAAAAAAAAAAAAGATATCCCAAGATAAATACAATGTGAAGAAACAGTTAAGCATACATAGAAAGAATTTGCTAGAGGAGGATCATTATAAAGCAAAAGTCTCATCAACCTGTGTCCCAAATGCTCGGGAAAAATTTTGCCCAAGGTTGTGGCTGGTTCCAGCCTGCAAAGCCTTCCGGTCACCCATCATTGCTTCGATTGTATATGTCTTTGAGGCACCAGCAAAGGTCTCAACCTTTGATTTACGACCTGCAATAACAGGTATTGCAGCTTGCTCAAAAGCAAATTTTGTGTATACACCAATCATCTGTAATGCCTGCAGTTGGAAGCATGAAAATTGTCAAATGAAACTATAAACCCAAAAGCGATACCGTATCAAGGAGAAAGCAAACCTCCTTTTCAGCTTCCTCGGAGGTTGCATGGGCTGTGTGACCTTCCTGCCACAGAAACTCAAGAGTTCTCACAAATGGTTTCGTACGCATCTCCCATCTCGTGACATTTGCCCACTGAAACAATGAACACAACTAAAAATGTTGGTAATAATATTCTTCCAGGTTTTAAAGGGAACAAAATATATGCTACAAAAAGATACCTGATTGATCATTAGTGGAAGATCACGATAACTATGAATCCACTGAGTGAACATATGGTTGACAATTGTTTCACTTGTAGGACGAACCTGCCAGAACCTCAACAAGTGCAATAATCAAAAAGTAAACTCAGGTTGTATCATTTAATCAGTCTCTTAAAAAGAATTCAGTAGTGGGAAGAGTTTCCACAGTGAAGTGTGGCAAATATATTTACCACAAGCTTTTCTTCCAGTTCCTTTCCTCCCCCAATTGTCACAAGGGCTAATTCTGGACTGAAACCCTCGACATGGCTAGCTTCTTTCTCAATGAATGAGTAAGGTATAAACTGCAATTACAATCAGTTTAAACATAATAGTTTAGTGCAACTAAACGCCAATAGAAATTATAAGAAATATAGTGCTATAGCAACTGCTGAAACAGTAAAGCTCTATTGTCAATTAACTCTTCCATAAATCGTAAGATGATAAGCGAGTATTCCATCACAAACGAAACCAATCTATGTCCAGTGATAAGTCACATCATACTTGATTCAGTTTTACCAAATCATTCTCGACATCAAAACGATCAATAGAAATTTCCATACGCAGTACGATAATATAAGTGATGGGTGATTCTAACCTGAGGAAAATACATGTTACTATGACCAGTCTCCTTAAACTTCACATTTAAATACTCCTGCACCAATCAAATCATCTAATTAGTAACAAAAGACCATGACATCACACATGAATAGGGGGATGCTAAACAATAGCAGCAATAAACCTGAATTGCTTCCCAAATTGCGTAACCATATGGGCGAATAACCATGGTACCCCGAACAGGACCATAATCAGCTAGCTCCGCATTCGCAATGACGTCTAAATACCATGCGTTGAAGTCCTGCGAGCGAGGAGTGATTACTCGATCCTTACCGGGATGGACTTTGGGCTTCGCCGACCTGCGCTCGCTTTCGGGAGGAGTTGCTATTTCCTTCTCGACGGTGCTGCTTTGAGTTGATAAATCAGCGGCGAATATGCGGCGGACGGGGAGGCGTAGCTGGCGTCCAAAGTGGTGGCGGGGAACCGCCGTGGCGGCGGCAGAGAGTGAGGTGAGGGTAGGCAGCCTGAGCGCAACCATTTCGGTGGTGGTGGTGTGTGGGGTTCTGAAAATGTGAAGATGAGGTTTAGAGCAACTCCAAAGTCCAGTCCAAGTAAGGAGGTTTGCTAGAAATTTATATTCAAATTTATATATTTATATTTATAAATATAAAATAAATATTATTATGTTAATCTATTTATCTTTCATTTAAATTAATACGTACCCCGTGCAATGCACAGGACAAAAATATTAAATGAGTTATTTTCACGAGTTTGTCCGTTTAAGTCTAAAAGGTAATAATGTTATTATCTATTTTGATATTTTTTACCTCTTTTAATCAACATTAAGTCTAAAAAATTATTATGTCGCCCTCTGGTAAATATGTATGGAGTTATGTGTTCGTGTTTCATAAGTCACGAACATTATGAATAACATTACAAATTATTCATTCAAACTTTTATTCATTGTAAATATATTAAAATAGTTTATATAACAGCCATTAAATACCACTTTCAATATATTTATAAATAAAAAGTACATAAATTTTCTGGTGTGTTCAAATTTAAATAATTTTTTATGGGCTTAATTTTAAATCATCTAGACTTTTGGTCAAACGCATAGGTTTTCAAATTTAAATTATTGGCATTTTGGTCGGTTGAAATTTAAATCATCTATCATGGTAATGTGATGTGTATTATATATATATACAATTTTTTAATAAATAATATGTGCTTTATAAAAATAATAATAATAATTTCACAAGATTTTAAACGTAAAATTTGGTTTTTAATCAAAATAGAAAAATCATGGTAAGTTGTATTGAAAATGTGTTATGAGATAAAACAATTAACTAAAATAATTAAATAAAATACTTGATGGAAATAAAATGCATTAATTAAATTTGACTTTTCTTATTATTAATTCTAGTAAATAGAATGCCTTTTTATATAAGTATAGATTTTGCCAATTTATTCACGCGTCAAATTTATTCCTTTTTTTAGGGAATCAAAGCCCATACAATATGTAATTAATTTACGGAACAATATGCAAATAAATCCATATAGATGCATTTTCTTTTTTTTTTTTACGAATTCAATTTATTTAATTAATTTAATTATTTCTTTTACGGAAATGCTCACTCGGCAAGAGATTCTAAATTCCATATTGCAGAGATTCTAATCGAAAAAAACATCTATTATATATAATAGAAAGTTTGTTAAGTTAATATTTATAGAGATTCTAATCGAAAAAAATATCTATTCCATATTTATAGAGATTTTAATCGGGAAAACATCTATTCCATATTACAATATGTAATTAATGAAAGTTGGTTAAGTTACTAATTTTAGACAATAATTAATGAATTTGGCGGGAAAAGATTACTAAAATTGAATTAAGTTAATCCTTATTATATATTAATAGATTTATACTAAATATAAGAACAAAATGTTAAAAATTATATACCAGGAAATAATTTTTTTTATTATCCTTATTATTTCCAAGCTTATTTATTTATTATATGGTTATCTTATATAAAAATCTAATATATTACTTCATAATTTATTTTACTTAATTATATTTTAATAATTTTATTTTATATTATTTTTAAATAAAAAGATATCATGGTATTTGCGGTAGATTATTTAGAAATATATGGTGAGGTGGTTTGGGTCCAACAACTGACGTTGAAAACTTGGGAGGTCAAGACAAGTTGATTCAGACCAGTGACTTGCGTGGATAGATCAAAAGGACCCAACGATGTGGTTCAAGACCCGTCAACTTGGAGGACCCAACCATGTGATTCAAGAAACTCTGGAGGATATGACGAAGCAATTTAGGTGTTGGCAACTTGTGTGGACAATGCGGAAGGATACGCAGAGGTGATTCAAACCCCAGATGACTTGCAGGGAAAACTCTAAAAGAATATAACAAGGTGATTCAATTCCCGACGACTTGTGTAGATAGCTTGAAAGGACAAGACAAACTAATTGGGGCTCAGGCGAGCTTTTGAAATGACTTGCATATTTTCTAGGAGCAAAGTGTTATTTTTATTATTATTATTGAAAATCTTATATCTATAAATAAAGAGCTGGGCTTGAACATAATACGTAACATGTGGAGCTTATGATTTAATAAATTTAGAAGGATAATGGTGTTTTGTTGATGTTATTTCTTTTTGGGTAAAAAAATTTTTACCACCCGAACTATCACGATTTTGGCATTGTACCATATGAACTTTTTTTTTTGGCAAATCACCATATGAACTAAGCGAGATTGTGAAATTGCTCACTATACCAGGTTTAAGCCCGGCTTCATCTCACTGAAACTGGTTTTTTGAGGGTATTCTAGGAATTTTGAGTATTTAAAAAAAAAAAAAAATGAAGAAAACAAAATGTCGAGAATTCTGCACCCCATCTTCGTCTACTTCTCTTCTGACATTTTGACTCTGATTTCGGGCTGCGAGCTCGAGCCCGACAGGACTTACCACGAGCACAATTGTTCCATCCAACGACCGACAGGACTTACCACGAGCACAATTGTTCAGGCCAACGAATTTGCCGCCGTTGTCGAGGCCGAGGAGGATGTCGAGGTTGCGGAGGACGTCTGCGTCAATGGCGACGACAAAGAAGCCGAGGCGCGCGAGGGAGAGGCCGTTGGCGGTGGTGGTGTTCTTGCCGCCTTTGCCGGAGGTGATGACCACGAGCGTGGGTTCTCACCGAAGTGTTGCGGCTTGCAGATACGCTGGAGAAGGGTTCAGATTGGGGCACGACGGCTAGGATTTTGGGTTGTGCTGGATGAGGGCTCGGATTGAGACGACAGCTAAAATTTTGGTCAGCATTCTGAGGGTGTTTTAGGGTTGAGGTGCGGCGGCGACGGTTAGAGTTTTTGTCGGCCTCTTGATGGGTTTTTTAGGGGCTGAGGTGCGGCGGTAGCGGCGTACGGTTTTTGGTTGTGCTGGAGGAGGCTCATATTGAAGCGGTGGCTAGGGTTTTGGTTGGCTTTTTGGGGGATTTTTTAGGGCTGAGGTGCGGTGGCAAAGGTTAGCAATGGTGGTGAGGCTTTGTTGACACCGACAGGTTTCAAGTAGCGATTTTCTGGGTGGGGTACAAATTTTTTTAATTTGTTTTGGGAAAAAAATGAAAATAAATAAAAAAAATGGGTTTGTAGTTGAGAATTTGACAAAGAAGAGGGGTTAATTTGTTATATTTGAATGATTTTTATAAATTTTGATTTTGTCCTTTGGGTACTTTTGTAATATTTTAAAAATTTGTAATACCCAAAATGTCCTTGTAAATCAGCTTTTTGTTACAAAAACCACGTTAAGTACGGTTTTGGAGGGCAAAGTGAAACAAACGTATAGTTCATATGGTGGTTTGCCAAAAAAAAGTTCATATGGTACAACGCCAAAATCGTGATAGTTCGGATGGGTATAAGTTTTTTACCCTTTCTTTTTTCTTTTTATCTATTGAAAATTGACAAATATAATGGAATCCCAAAAGGTGTTTCGGCAACCGTGGTGGCGAACTAGCGATGATTGGACAGTATTATTTATTTTGTTTTACATACCGTGGAGTGAGGCCTCAATGATTTCCCTAGGCCTAAAGGAAGCGGACACCAGTGTATTTTAAAAACGTTAAATAAGTAGAAGTGATAATCTCGACTCACAGGTATATAGGGTAACTTGTAAGTTTTTTTTTTTTTTTTTTTTGGTTGGGGGTGGGGTTGTGGTGAAATATTCATTGATTTCGTACTATTGGTGAATTATTAATGAGGTGGAAATGTAAACAGATAAATTATCAAATATTTATTAGACGTGAATAAAAAATTGTTAAAAAAAATATATGTTACAATTCTTATCTTTATCAAATGAGAGATGTGCATCTATTAAAATATATAGCATGAATAAGACTTCTGAGTTAATCAATCACTCGTTGATTATCAACTTTGAACTGCGTGCATTGAGTCAAGCGAGTGGGGTGTAGAAAACAAATTTGTTTAGAACAGCATGACTGACTAGTCGCTACTTGTTCATCAATTTTAAACAACTTGTGTTGGGTCAGGTGAGATGGGTATAGAAGACAAATATGGTTTTAAGAAGTATGAAGTGCCAATCATTCGTTGCTTACCGATTATGAAAAACTCGTGCTTGGTCAGGCGAATGGGATGCTTAAGATAAATTAGATTTTGAACAGAATTAGTTGAGTCAGTCACTCGTTAATTACCGATTTCAAACAGTTCGAGCTGGACCACGCAAGTTATGGTTGTTTTCAAGGTGTAAATATGGTTTTGAACAATGCGGACTAGGCCACTATATCGTTGTTTACTAATTTTAAATAACTCATGTTGGGTCGGGCTAGTGGGCTTTAGAAGACAAATCTGGTTTTGAACAATTGAGCTGGGTAGTTAATCGTTGATTATAAATTTTGCACTGCGCGAGTTTGTATGAGAGAGTGTATGGTGTTTTGAAGGTGTAAATCTCATTTTGAACAACTTATGATGCGTATTAGTTGATTATCTAGGTAAAACAACACAATCCAGGTTGGATGGGAATTAGATGTTTTACATGTATATATCTAGTTTGGAATAGCTCAAACTGGGCTAATCGCTTGTTGTTTATCTATTTGAACACTAGTGAATTGGGTTGTACGAGTATTTGATTTTTATTTTATTTTTTTTTTCCAAATGTGGTTTCTGAGTGTAGGGCGATCAAAATAAGAACATATGTTTTTAAATCTATTTTTTAATAGCATGAGGTGGGCAAGTCGATATTCAATAGATTTTTATTACACTTTGCGTTCGGTTGATATATATAATAAATGGTTTCTTTGATTTTGATGGTTTACTATGTATTAAATATAAATTATCTCACATTTGGTCACTTAGCTCACTTGCCACATCAGATAAGGGATGCTAGATAATGGGTATGGCATTATAAAATGGCCCCAATTTTGATATGAGTTCAACAATATAAGGTGATCAAAATGCATGTCTTTGGTTAAGATTTCTAGAATATTTCAACGTATTTTTTTTTCTCAAAT